GGGGGGGGGGGTGGGGGGGTAAGTCCAAGATAAATTGATCCAAGAAATCATTGAGCTTATACGGAATGAAGGTAGACTGGACAAGCAAAAGGGTGGGGCCCTAAGCTAGTGTTTGTTAATGTGTCATCTGTCAAAAGGTAAAACAACCATCACTTTCCTTGAGAATGCCCCTGAAAGCGATGGGTGGCAATCTTACCGACAGTTGACCCTTGAGTTTTGGTTAGGCACAAAATATCAAAATATAATTGTACTAGGTAGAAATTAGGGTTAATCAAATTTTTGATTAGTCATAATTTCTTATCTTATTTGACCTTATCCTACCTTAGTAAAAATTGGATAGGAATATGAAAGATTTTTTAATCTTTCGATTAAATCAAGTAGAAATGTAAAATATCTATCAATTTTTACATTTCTACTCTACCCTATCCTACCCTACTCATAAAAAATATATTTAACTTTTTTATATTTTTTTTAATAATTATAAGAGTATTTGTGTGGTATAATTTATATTATAACATTGTTATTATTATGGATGTTTAAGTTGCGAAAATATAGACTTATTTTTTGTGTAGGTTACATGATTTATGGTGAACTGGCGATCTATTTGAGCAATTATGATTTTAATGTATTTCATATGGTTTAAATTTAAAATAATTGTTATTTTATTTGTGTAACAATTATGATAGATTGATGTTCATACTTTTTTATGTTTTATTGTAATTGTTGTTGTAGTTATTTTCGATTTTTTAGTGTTATTGATTTATTGTGTTGTTAAATTAGTGCATGTTATTTAAGTGAATTGTTAAAATGATTCAAAAATTAATAGCTACAAAAGTGTTTATCCGACTTCTTACCCGATTAATTCGATAGGAAGACGGATATGGCAGACCAAGAAAAAATTATTCCGTAAAATATCGAGTAGGAAGATCCTACACTTAATCGGGTAGGGTAGACCAAGAAAAAAAAATTCGCAAAGTATCGGCGTAAGAAAACGAAAAACTATATTTTCTACCCGTAAAATAGGATGAACACCCCTAGTTGAGAAAGAGAATAGTAATTTGTATCACTTTCTGCAAGTACATTATCGTTGTCTGATAAACAAAATGTGTAAACTCTCAATTCAATTATGAAGATGTTATCGTATCGAAATTTATAACTTTTTAAAAATTAATTTTTTTAAAGTAAAAGTTATAATTGAATGAATAAGAGAAATTCTAATTTTTAAAGATAAAATTATTATTTTTTTCATGTTAAGTTACACTTATTTAAAGATGAAATTACAATTGACCGGGGGGTCATTCATGAAATTGCAATTTATAATCTAAATAGGGCAAAATTCAAGAAGTTAATATGACGGTATCAAATAGATTCATTCAACGACTACTAACATCTCTCTTAAAATCATTTACATTGTACCGAGCGTTTAGACACAAATTATCCTTAATTTATAATATTTTATGATCAATCATAGAGTTGTATAAAATAATTTGATTTTTTTTTTTGGTACCATGAAATTACACTTCAATTATAACTTAAATGTGAGCACCGGCCACAATGCACATAGGGACAGAAGTTCTCTCTCTTTTTTTTAACAGCTAGGGGTGTAAGAGTTAATTTACGCGTACCTTAACTAATTCATTTCTGATCCAATCAAAAGTATGTTATACACGTCGAAACTAGGATATTCATAAGGTATGCTTTTCAATTTTATCCGATGATATACTATTCATTGCATTTAGTGAGCGTTATAAATTTACAATGTAAGAACGATCAACAAAGAAAACAATTAAGAATAATTAACAAATAATTTACGTGATTCGGCAAAAAATTGTATTTACATTCACGGGAGCAGTTGTTTTCCCCTATTACTATCCTTATACAATTATAACCTATTTATAAACTCTAGTTAATCACCTAATCTTGTTCTAACTAAAAAACCTAATCCTAATAAAACTCATACACTAAATATACAATGGAAATCCCAAATAAATTCGATCCACTTCTTACAAGGCGCTTCACTTCGCAACACTTTGTTTCGTTCTGTCCATTGACTCAATGTCTTTTGGGCCTATGAGATATGAATCACCCACTACTTCTACCAGCGAGGGATCAACTAACATTTCGTAAGGTTCACTTAAATACTTGGTGAGTTATTTAACATTAAAGAAAATCGAGAAAAAAGATAGAATGAATGGGATCAATATCCGAATTAATTCTTTATTTTTTTTTTTTGGAGGGGGAAGGGGAAGAGGAAGGGTGACTTGAACCCTTGACCTTAAGAAGACAAAATTTTTACAAGACAAATAATACCATTAAACCAAATACTCATTGGTGTATCCGAATTAATTCATTGCGTGAGTGAAATTATTTATTTTCAAATTTGAACACAACTACTGAAAAGTGGGCTTGTTCAGAAATGGTCCAACCAGACAGAATTTCTTCTATTCTCCCTTGAAAATGAAATTTGGTCGACCTTTCCATTCATTTTCCCAACCAATCTCTGCAGGCCTTGCGTCTGAAAAAGAGTGACAAAAGTACTAAGGGTTGGAAATTTGTGGTCCATTCTTCAACTCATGGGAAGGCAAAAGACTGCTTACGAAATTAAGTGACATGGTCCATCACATTCACAGCAATAACAAGCAGACCCGCGATAACAATAAAAGTCAAAGATGTGTACGAGTACCTGTAAATCATGCGCACCAGATCAATAATAACGATCAACAATAGTGTCTAATGCGAAACTTGAAATTGAACCCTCGAGTTAGCAAGCCCATGAGGTCTTCCCATTCAAACTACGATGATGACTGGTTAATAAAAAGTTTGTGTCTTTCTTTTAAAGTTGAGTTCTCAAACTTAATTTCTAAAACGAGAGTCATTCTCTGGAATATTTATCAAAAGAAATAGCCTTCGTTACAGAGTAGAGAAAATAACTTTTTTTTCTATGCTACTTATACAATCTATGAATGAAAATGCCTCGCATAGTCGGACAAGAAAGAGAAGACAACAGAGTAGGCCAGTAAGAGTAGTTAGT